AACATGCTCTACAATAGACTAATCTCCAGTCCCTGTGAACTTGGCAAACTCAAGGACCCTGAATCCTCTTGGAAATGGGTGGAGCCTGTCTACCCATTCTGGGTATGGCTTACGGTATATAGGTGGCATGGCAGGTCTTACTCCCATGCCAACTGCTCCGTGAGGAGTTGAGCCACTTGACCCCTAAGGGTGTTGGCGTCATGCCTCCCTTGTTGCCCCCCATACGGTACAAACCCAATGGGGTCCATACCATGCCATTGAAACGGGGTGGCGTTGGAGTTGGGTAGCCTCGTGGTTGGATGAGAATTGAATGCACCTTGTTTGCTTTTGTTTTTGGGTGTTTGCTTTTGTTTTTGTTTTATGGACTAATGATCTCATGATTAATATGAATGATTTTCTTTTGTCTTGCTACTATTACAGGCGCAATCAACGGATCCAAACCTGGATGATCAAGAATCCTTGAAGGAACTTTGGAATTTAAGGAACACTTGTTTATTTCATGGAATTTAATGAACAATTAATCGTCCACCAAGTAATAATACTAACTGACAATTAGTCATCTCCAAAAACACATGTTAAGGGGCAACAAATCGCTCACACGAGTTACATAGGGAACAATTAGTCATTTCCAGAAGCCGCATAACTGATAACTCCTCGTGGTTGGATGAAAATTGAATGCACCTTGGATGAGAAAACTTGCTTTGAATGAGAATTGAATGCACCTTGACTTTTTTGGACAACGATCACTAAACACGGTTCACACCTCTTCAAACACAGTTCGAACGAGGGTGTTCGATATTTACACGACTCTCGAGACCGTTATACATTAAGTTAACCCTACTCCTATGGAGGTTCTGAGAGAGCTCCAAATCTACGACTACTCATAAAAATTTGCAGAGGAAAGATAAAATCGATAAACTTGACAATTGGTGTCGAGTGGTAATCTTTGCGGGGCCATCTCTGTCAATCTATCCTCCTATTTATAGCCGTGAGTGAGTAACTGTCGTAGAAAAACAGTCTCGGATAACTCCCAAAAATAACGGCTCCCGGCTTCCTCGAAAAGTGGCTGACGTGTCCTTTGAACTTGGGAAGAGTAGCAGTTATCTCTCAACTGCCTAGGTACCTCTCTTGAAACCGTCGTAGGATTTGGAGTGCAGCTCGCCTCATAGCTCACGATCATGGACTTCTTACTCATGTCCATGGCCCTCTTGGTACTTAATCACTAGTGATATAATACTCCACCACCATGTCATTCTCCTTCATGTCCATGGCCCCTCTCGTGAGGCGGCATGGCCTTCTCAGAATTATCATATGGCATGGCCTCTTCGTTCACGCCCATGGACCTCTCAATCACGATCATGGCCTCTCGATATCTAGAGGGACATGACCCTCCTTGTTGAAGCGGCACATCCTTCTCCATACTTTTGGTTGTTTGGTTTAGATCATGAGGCGGCATGGCCTCTTCATTCACGGTCATGGACTTCTCATTCATGTCCGTTGCCCTTTCTGTTAGACAGCATGGCCTCCTCATACTTTGTATTTTTCAATCGTGCCCAGGTCCTCTTGTCTCGTGTCCATGGCCGTCACATGAGACACGGCCATGGACCTCTTAATCATCCACATGGCCCTTCTCATGAGGTGGTATGGCCTTCTCAGACTTAGAATATTTTTCAGTCATTCTGCATTTGTCGTGGGGCGGCATGTCCTCTTCGTGAAGTGGCAAATCTCATAAAATTAAGATAAAACATAATTTTTCAATGATTTTACAGTAAAATTAAATTGGGGTATCAAAATATAAAATATACATTATAGTGACTAAGTTGTAATTAAATAAAATTTGAGGTATCCAAATAGTATATTTTTAGGCAACAGTAACTAAGCTCCAGCTTTGTATATAATAATGTAAGAAATATTTATCATTCCATAATCCTTAAATTATGTATTTTGTATATATCTTTGCGTAATAGTTGTAAAATATCATCATTTATTTGTATTTTATCCATTTTCATAGATAATAATAATTCGAAAATATCAAATCATCTAAAAATCAAGTTATTGTACGAGGTGCTCAATCTTAATAATGTGAAAGAATAATTAAATTATTTTTGTATGTATCCAACACCCAAAAATTTGAAGAAAATTGAATCCCAACGTTAAAACAAGGTGACAGTCTAAGTGAGTGATACAATGTTTTGATCAGACGGTTGGTAAATAGTGGCCTTATTAAATGATGTTGCGATACGTACATCAAAAGCCGGAAATCAATCGGTACAAGAATATAAGAAAACCCCAACAGCAACGTCCCAAACAAAACATGGTTTCATATGTACTATGATTTATACATACATATATTCATATCCGGCGACCGCCAAAGCCGAACGATACCATCCGGCCAGCTGCAAATTTGAACATTTAGATCATTGATTAATCAAGAGTTTGACAATTGTGCGTTATTATGAGGCTGTCAACACAAGCTTAATTATTGGACATTTTCTATAAACCACCGTTTAGTTCCCGCCTTGTTGCCTTTATAATAAACCCCATGGACCGATCAAATTAATTAAAACATAAACATGTCTCAAAACATTTTCCTCCTTTCTCTCCTTGTTTCCCTCTCCGGCGCCGTCGCACAGGTGATCAACTTCACCGCCATCAATACCACGCCGAAAACAGCCGGCGGTGCCATCTTCACGCGCCAAGTCGGCACCAACTACACCTGCCACGTCATGTCCAACGCCACCAATTTCATATGGACGAGTGTCTTCCGCGAGACCACCAACGGCAGCCGGAGAGACTTCTCCAACGTGACGTTGCTGGTGAAGGACATGGACGGCGTGGCTTACACCTCGGACAACGAGATCAGCCTCAGCGCCCAATACGTCGGGAACTACTCCGACGGTGGCAATGACGTCAGGCGTGAGGTGGCTGGAGTGGTGTATCACGAGATGACGCACGTGTGGCAGTGGTTTGGTGGTGCGCAAGGAGACATTGCCCCGGGTGGATTGATTGAAGGGATTGCGGATTTCGTTAGATTGAGAGCCGGTTTGGCCCCGCCGCCGGGTCGTTGGGTCAAACCGGGGGAGGGCGATAAGTGGGACCAAGGCTACGACGTTACGGCTATGTTTTTGGATTATTGCGACGGATTGAAGAAGGACGGGTTCGTGGCGGAGCTTAATAAGAAGATGAGAGATGGTTATAACGTGACGTTTTTCAAGGAGTTGCTTGGGAAGAGCGTGGATGAGCTTTGGAAGGACTACAAGGCTAAGTACGGAAAGTGAAGAAAACAAGTCGTTATTAATAAGGGGGCGCGGGAAGGGGTTGGAGTCTAGATGATGGGCTTTCACTAATATGCTTTGTAAATGATTAATCTTTGATGATTTTACTTCAGTCTGTGTGTTCATGCAAGAACTAGAATAATGATTGGTCCAGGTTATCAATTGTGATTAATATTATAAGTTGGGAAATGATATGGGACAACAAAATCTTTATACAAGTGTTTATGGTAGTATTATCCAACGGCGGATCCAGAACAAGGTAGAGCACTGAGCCACATTTGAAAAAAGACGAAGAGAGTTGGGTAGTAACGCGACAAACACTTATATGAATACCAAAATCGAAAATTACAAGTACTATACTAGCTCGGGATCCTGAGAAGGACTGGACCGTGACCTTGTGGCGGCCCTCTGGATCCGCCGCTGGTATTATCAATATCATATGGTCATGATATGACATTGATATGACGACACATCTATTTTATCTTAACTCAATATTTTAAATATTTTGCACAAAAAGAAGTCATTAATGATGAGTTACACAATGATATTATATTTTTTATATTTTGATCAAAAAGAAATTTAGAACATAAAAAAACTCGAGTTTACTATATAATCTAATGATTATCATATCATATATTACCAATGTGGTAAAAAAATCAGTCCACACACCAACTGGGGGGCAAGACGCAAGAAGCTGGCACCGCGTCAGTCAAACGCGCCACCAGCTGGGGGGCAACTGGGGTACAGAGGGCTCCACCCAGAATTACCGACGAAGATTTAAATTATATATATATAAGCTAGCGATGAGTTAAAACTCACCACCAGGTTGGGGGGCAATTGTTGGGGGTGTTACTAAATACTTCGTGCACAGACTAAGTAGGAGAGCGCACAATCGGCGATGGCAACACTCGGTACCCGCTACAGGTATATAAGGGCTTGAAGCCCTCCAAAGAAGAGGACTTCTTCCTTCTCTCCTCACTTTCCACTTTCTACTATCTCTTTACACTTTATCTCTCTATCTATTCTCTCAACTCCTTCCACAAACAGACACTGACTTGATCATCGGAGCTTAATCCGAGGGGCAACCCCGGCTCTTTCACAGGTTCTCTCCCTCCCGACGAGATCAGACGAACGGATGACGAGTCGACCCACACCACAAATATCATTGTTCGTGTCCTGAGCTAGTTGGCACAAACAATTGGCGCCCACCGTGGGGCCGATTTGGATACTTGTTCGTCTGATTTCGAAAGGAAGAAAAGCCGCCTCTTCCTCCGTCACTACAAGCAGCAGCAACGACAAATGATAGAGGAGTTTTCAGTTTGAAGAACACGGAAACAGACAGCTGCCAACGAAGGAAGGAAACCGATTTCCCACCCTACCTAGCGACGGCAACAACAAAACAAAATCAATGGTGATAGCAAAAAAAGAAGAAAGTCAAATCATGTTTTATCCTCCTTTCGTTCATCTCTTCGGGAGCTCGCACAAGAAGAGCCCCTGCCGATCTGCCAACAAGCAGAACAAAGAAGAAAGAAAGGCGCGACAATGAATTAAAAAAAGAAAAAAAGAAGAAAGGTGAAAATTCTCCAGATTCCAACGGCCGATGATAAGTGTGGCAGTAGAGTCCGACGAGAAAGGAAGAAGAACAGCTCCGTGGTCAACATGATCACCTTCTCTTCAATCTCTGCAATAAAAAGTAGCCTACTACGCTACAGTATACGGCCACAATTAAAGAACCGATGGGACAGCTATCTCTGAACCACCTGCTCCATCTGTCAGAAAAACAAGACAGGCAGAGTTTTCGAAGCAGACAACGAGGTTACCAAGGCAAGTGGGTTCCAGCCTGGAAGCACATGATGAAAGGACGGCGGTGCTTCTCCTCGCCTCTTCTCTTATCGGTGGTGGAGTGGCACTTTCGGCTCCTCCGCGTGGCTTCAAAACGAGGGAAGCTTCAATTGCCATGCTTACTCGCGTCCAAACCGTCGCCGTACTGAGATTCGCTATTGTTCTTGGCGGACGGCGGAAGTGGGCGAGGAGATCTACCGAAGCTACACCGCCGGTACTTGTCCTTGGTAGAGGAGTTGCTCTGTTTCTTGGGTCTGTATATTAGCCGGAGAAAGCCCATAACTCATAGTTTGTTGAGGGATGCCGAGTGGGTTTTGTGTTCTGGAATTCAATTGGCGAAAGAGGTGGAAAAAAAAAACAGAGCGAGGGAGCAGGGGAAGAAGATGGAGAAGAAAAGAGTTGATATATATAAAAAAAAGAGAAAAAGAAGACTCCTAAGTGTCTGCCCTACTCACGCTCACCTCCATACTCTACCAGAGGCGGACCCGCTTGAGCCGGCCCACATTCCACGCGCGCAATGGGCTAGCCACGCCCCACATCTGGCCCGCTTCACATCCATCCTTTAACTCCGCCCTCAAGAAAAAAAAAATGCTCCCTGGAGGATTTGAACCCACGTTCAAGCATTACAAGACTAGAGTGCGGACCAGTGGACTGCATCATGTCGTTGACAACAGAATGTCCGACGCACCGCTATGAAGAGTATACTCCGCTCCAACTCCAATTCGCGGTCCACACTTCCAAGCGGGCCTGATTCCACCCACTAATGACGCACATTCGCCTGATTATTTCACAGTTCGGGCTCCTCATCGCGTCACAGCCCGCGTCGCACCAGGCGCGACCCGCGGCCCGCGCCGCGCACTCCACCAGCCCGCCTAACCAGGCGCGACCCACCAGCCCGCGCGGCCCAACCAAGTCGCGGCCCGCGCCACGCACTGCACCGGCCCGCGTCACCAGGCGCGACCCACCAGCCCGCGCGGCCCAACCAAGTCGCGGCCCGCGCCGCGCACTCCACCAGCCCGCGTCGCACCAGGCGCGACCCTCCAGCCCGCGCGGCCCAACCAAGTCGCGGCCCGCACCGCGCACTCCACCATCCCGCGTCGCACCAGGCCCAATCCTTCATGCGGGCTCGCGTCACGCATCCAACAGGTGCCAGATCAAAAATATTATTGTCGCCGCGAAGGCTCGAACCTGCGCCATTCCTCCACAAGACAGTCAACGTACCAGCAGACTACAAGCGAGCCGTGTGTTTCAAGGACGCGACATCTGATGTTTAACCACTCACGCCCACCCAGTTCCACGGAACAAACAAAAAGTCGCAATAGTCATGAACTATTCGCGCACACTCAGTTCCGCGGAACAAAAAATAGCAATAGTCCCGCACTATTCGCGCCCACTCAGTTCCACGGAACAAACAAAAAGTCGCAATAGTCATGAACTATTCGCGCACACTTAGTTCCACGGAACAAAAAATAGCAATAGTCCCGCGCCCACTCAGTTCGACAAAAACGTCTCGGGACCATCAGCTCGCGGCCCCCCAACTTTTCGAGCCGCTTCGCCAACATAAAGCTAAGTACTCTGTCCCTCTATCATTATTAAATATTGAAATATTTTACTTGCCTGAGCGTTAATGGCGCTAATGGGGGGCTACACGCCTTAATAGAATACACCAACTGGGGGGCAAGACGCAAGAAGCTGGCACCGCGTCAGTCAAACGCGCCACCAGCTGGGGGGCAACTGGGGTACAGAGGGCTCCACCCAGAATTACCGACGAAGATTTAAAATATATATATATAAGCTAGCGATGAGTTAAAACTCACCACCAGGTTGGGGGGCAATTGTTGGGGGTGTTACTAAATACTTCGTGCACAGACTAAGTAGGAGAGCGCACAATCGGCGATGGCAACACTCGGTACCCGCTACAGGTATATAAGGGCTTGAAGCCCTCCAAAGAAGAGGACTTCTTCCTTCTCTCCTCACTTTCCACTTTCTACTATCTCTCTACACTTTATCTCTCTATCTATTCTCTCAACTCCCTCCACAAACAGACACTGACTTGATCGTCGGAGCTTAATCCGGGGGGCAACCCCGGCTCTTTCACAGGTTCTCTCCCTCCCGACGAGATCAGACGAACGGATGACGAGTCGACCCACACCACAAATATCATTGTTCGTGTCCTGAGCTAGTTGGCACAAACAATACCAACATTATATCACTAGGACTAGTACATCCGTAACCAGCTAACCGGTTAATTGTATACCGGAAATAGCAATATGAAAATCGAGTACCGAATATCGGTTTTTAACTGGTTGACTGGATACCCATAGCTGATTATTGGTTACCTGACATACCGCCAACGAAGGGAAAAGCAGAGGATTTTTTTTCACCATGCCTTCCATTTTCGTGGTTTGAGTCTTTGCCACCCCTCCAAATTCCAGTCACCTTTGGCTGCAGTTTTTTGGTGATGTTTCTTCTTTGAAGAGAAGAGAAGAGAAGAGTTGCTACCTAATTAATCATCATAGGAGCTCTGATTCCACCGCGCCACCTCCCTCCTCTTCGATTCCCGTTGTCCACCGCTTTGGTAGTCGAGTGGGAGAAGATGGAAAGATTAGGTGCACCGGGGAAAAGTCGAGGTTGGTAAGGTCGGAGGCTGGTGAAAGAGCGTCCAGTTAAAAAAAGGATGGTGGAAGAGCATAGCGACATCGAGGAAGAAAGTGGTGAGTTGCTGATGGTGTAGAGAGTTAAGATTTGCAGGTTTGGGAAATGGAAGAAGAAAGTTCTCATCTTTCATGCAGGAGGGGAAGGGTGGAGTTGGGAATGGAGGAATGTGAGACGGCGGCGGAGATGGCGCTATGACCTTGCAGAGTTGGGAGAGAAAAGGGGAAGGAAGACGGGTTGGGATGCTGTTGGGTGGATATCAGGTTATCCGATATACCGGCTAACCGTCGGTTACTTATTATTGAGTTGGATCCGTTATACTGTGTGCAATATAGTGGATACTGTCATACGGCACATACTGTTATCGGTTCGGTCCGTAATTGCTTATACCGTTAACAGGTAAATCGATTACCACCCCTGCATATCACTATTATATTAACATCATAACACTATGATCAAACTTCACAAAATCCTTTTTTTTTGTGAGACTTCACAAAAGCATTTCACCAGTCATATCGTGATCTTACCACTTTGGTAAGACTTACAAACATCATCATACCAGTGTTAATGGTAATATCATGATATGATAGTGGTAAATGGCGTAATTTTTTTCTCCAACAAATATAATATTGTAGAGCACAAGAAAACTCATATTTCTATGCAAATTATTTTTGTATTTCGATGCAAAACGAATGGGTTATAGTCCGTTGTGTAACACCCCGGTATTTTAGATTTAGGTTCGACCTTATTACGTGATCGGTTGGATTGACAGTTACGTACTAAGTATTACAATCGCGGATTAAGAATAAAAAAAGAGGCAAACGCATGTATATAGGGGAGGCCCTCCACCCTTACCAAAAACCAAACCCTTTTTAAAACCCGGCCGCCCAGCAGAGTCCCCAACGCGCGGCGAGAAGAAGAAAAGAAAGCGACAGCGCCGCTCGCAGCCCGACCCTGATTCAGATCCCGATCCCAATCCGAATCTCATCCCTTTCTTGTTTTTAGGTAAGGATCACGAACCCCTTCGCGATTTCTAAAATCGATTTATCGATAGTCTAATCCGAAGCTCGTATTTTATTAGCGGTGACGTTTGCGGGTTCAATCAACGAGGAGATCAACGTCCCGGGTCATCCAACCTAGGCCTAGGCACGTTCTAGAGGTAAAAGAAATCGATCCCTTTGGGTTAAGTAGATTGATTTGGTGATTTTTCGTGAGGCTACAATTCTGGATTTTTAGCAACAGGCGTTTCAGGCTTTTAGTGACAGATTTTGTTGGTCACTAAAGCTGCTGGGAATTTGCAGAAACGTATTTTTAGATATTTTAAATTGTTTCAAACCTGTCTGAGGGTTGTTTTCTCCATGTAATAATTTTATAAATTGAACGGCGTCTAGGAGATGATTCTAATTTAATTTGAGGATTTTTGGAGATGTATTTCTATTTTTAGAAATTATTCTAATATTCGTTTTAATTAAATAAAAATATTTCCGAGGAGTTTTTAAGGGTTTGATAATTTTTCAAGGTATAAGGGCTAATGATTAACATGGGAAAATTATTGTCCAAAATTTTAAGAAGGTTCAAAGTAGGTGACAAATTCGTCCAAGATAAAAATAATTAAGGAAAACGGTCGTTTTTGAAGTGATTAATTCTAGAAATTTTAAAGGGGGTTAAAGGACCTTTGGAATGAGGTTCAAGGACTGGAGTTTGAGGAGAGGATGTTCTAGTGATTCAAAAGGGGTTTTAAATCAAGAAAGGTCGTCTAAGAAAATGGATTCTTATTAATAGGTTTCCCCAAGATAATCCGCCTATGGAAGGGTTTCTTCGAGGAAGGAATTGAGGAGTCATCTTTTCGATGTGAGTGTAAAGGGGGTAAAATCTCTGTCGTAGGTATTTTAGTTTCCTCTTTTCGTTCAAGTTATTATTTAGTTAATTTTTTTTCCTAGTATGCACGATATGTGTGTGAGGCATCCTATCGCCTGTAAGGGTGGAGGCACGCGTTGTGCTATGTGTGAATGTATGTGATGATGTATGGTGTGTGTGGCATCCTAAACCATAGACGATATAAAATTTAACTAGGGTAACTCTCTATCCCTAACTATAGCAGTTTTAAATGTGTTCACCATAAACCAAATAGGCTTAGTCAACACTAGTTCTGTAAGTCCAGGAGTACCTGCAATTTTCAATTCCACGATTTTTGGATCAGCTCGTGAGATGTTAGCTTTAATCATTAGTATGCGCGATATGTGTGTGAGGCATCCTACCGCCTGTAAGGGTGAAGGCACGCGTTGTGCTATGTGTAAATGTATGTGATGATGTATGTTTGTGAGGCATCCTAAACCATAGACGATATAAAATTTAACTAGGGTAACTCTCTATCCCTAACTATAGCAGTTTTAAATGTGTTCACCATAAACCAAATAGGCTTAGTCAACACTAGTTCTGTAAGTCCAGGAGTACCTGCAATT